GGACGCAGTGAGGATTTGTTTGTGGTGTGCCGTGGTGTGTCTATTACTAAAATTGGATTGTATTGAACAAAGAAAAGCATAGGTTTCCGGTATGGTGGGCTTAGAAAGAAGGGATACAGCTCACCAACTGGCGTTATATAACAAATTACGTGCTCAATAACAAATCTGCTGGATAACATTTAATATGTACACATTGGATTGAAACTAGTACGAAACAGACGACTATGAATAGACTATACGAGACAATTTACCTTTATTGCGCCAGACATATCTGTGTCGGTTGGCCTGCGCTGAGAAAATTGTTTTGATGCAATACTATTATCGATCGTCACCATAAATAAAACAACAGTCGTGGACAGTTCTCAATTGATTTTGATTGTATATTGCAAAGCAGAATCGAACGACCCTGACCTCATCAACTAAAATCACTTAAATGTGCTTAACTGGCATGTATATTGAAAGAGCTTTCACCAGAACGCCATGGCAGTAATCTCATCGAAAGTTATAATAACCGCAATATGGTCATACCTTACGTGAGGTGGGAGGTCTGTATGTATGTTTGTTTGTTTGTTTGACACACGTGTTGATAATTATAAACACTACTTCCGGCCTTAAATCTTTATCTGTCGCATGTAACATTGAATGTCACCGCTCTTTACGCATCAAATATCAGACATCAACTGCTAACAAACCTGATATGGATTGTGAATAGTATTTTAATCACAGCTTGATAAAATGACAGATTATTTCACAAATGATATGAACGATTGACATAAAGAGCATATTCACAGCTTTGACGTCAGTACTTTCTTCAAGACATATAAACCAAACGACTAGTATGTAAGACAGATTAAACAGTATTAGTGAGTATTTTATCACTGGTCTTTTTTATAAGATCTCTGTATAAAGTTGTCATGGCAACGATCTTTACAACGATAACCCCCCCCCATCATTCTATATATCAAGTAAACGTACTTGATATTACTTTATATTACCATTCAGATTTCTCATCTTTCACAAAAGCAAGAACGGTACGAGTATGCTTGCCCGACACGTGGTTTCGACATTACAGTCACATCCCGAAAAAAAGCCCGTAACCTATACCGCGGCACTGCAATCCGGTATACTCACTTCAAACGAACATGACCGATGTATGGTACTACATAAATGAGAATATATGTAACCTTTGAACCCGTCACACATATGTATAAATAATCGACGATGCGCTTATAATGTGGTTAAGCATGGTAGTATTATTAAGTGGGTTCATCGCGAATGGCATCATGTGTGCATTATGTCAGTAACTCGGGTTTTATTAAACGGCAAAAAGAAAAACGTACTTTCCACATGTAATAAATATTACCTTCTGAATTAGTAAATTCAATCAATACACTCCCACACACACATACACAAAAAGCATGCGAACGTCGTGGCACCCGATGAAAAATAATTTAATAATCATACAATTCGTGAGTTATTACCCTGGTGATTTGTATACTATGGTGAAATAATGAGCATAAAATATTCATACTCTCCGTTGTTGAAGCTATCCCGGATTTGGAGAGCGTGTTCTCATAGTTTGGTGAATTGAACTGCACAAATCTCTCGCTAAGCTACTATCGCTAATTTCCCTTGTGATTCACATATGAATCATACATACGTTTTGAAGAAAAAAAAGCTTTTGCATAACATGCCTAGTCTAAAAGTACGATTCATGTACGACAGTATATTCTATGTATATTCTATGAACATTGGTCTCGTACTTTTAACAGTAAAACAGCTGCACCAGCCATACGCTATGTAGTGTGATATAGATAGATATAGATAGTGTGGATATCTTTTACCCAGCCATTCTCAAAGCTTGGAATCTGGTTTTGACAAAGGGAAACATACGTTTCTATATTTACATCCTTACAAAACAAGGTATATTTTTCATGCAATTGACTCGTGGTCGCTGGATGACTGTTTTAAGGTGCATCACGTGTTGTCTGACAATATAACTAAGCGTGCAAAAAACCAGTACTGTCAAGGACACAGCCATAGCTTCCGGATTCCTGAAATCATAGTGTGGAGTGGTCTATAGTATGCAAATGCGATAATTGTACATGACCAGATGATTTGGTTCGCTAGTTTTTTTTTTTAGAAAGAAGTGATCTTTTGTGCCAAATTGCCTTAAGGTGTTGTCACTGAGAATTTCCTTCTTTCCAAGCAAGATAATCGCTATACAATTGTTTTGGTAACTGAACACGAAGTATATTCTGATGTCCTGTGCGATCATAGGAGAGATAGTTCTTTATTTTCTCCAATATAAGCGGCCTAGTGCCGTCAATATCAGGCTCAAGAAAACAACAATCAGCGACAAATGTTACACCGCATCATAACCTTAACCAAATCAAATGTTCGAACTCGAATATTCTTTTTACACGTATAAATATCTTCACGTAGTGCAACTAGCCGGATGGTTCCGACTTGAGCTTCTCAGAGTTAAGGACAATACCTACTTCATATAGACATGATCGAAGCTAATACTAACAATAATGGTGTTAGGGCATACAAACATGAACCAAGTGACAACACTTTTTGAATCTTCCTTCGCTTAGAAAGGAGTATGACCGCTTTGGCCTACTATGACCAAGGTGACAATAATTATTTGGGGTAATGTAACCTTCTGAAGTCTTTTATGATTCTCAGCTTCTCCACGTCAGAGGTCGGTGTCAGTTTAATGTCAGATGCCAGGATAATGCAAAGATCAACGTGCTGTAAGCGTTTTTGAACTCACACGACGCGGATAATCGGCTTAGATTAACGTATTAATTTAAAATATATATTAGCCTTAGTTGGTTGCAATTACGGCAATGGCTAGTACCCTGGGAGAACGACATTGATTATAGTTTATACCATAGATTATTGTTGTATGATCTTTATAGCCAGAGGATATGACCAGCTTCAAGTTCACTGAGCATATCCGTTCTTTATAATAACGTGCCCATATATTAATGAATGGTTAAGAAAGACGTGTATTAGCCTTTTAAAACCTAGATTTCAATGGGTCAATTTTAATGTCGCTATTTGATAATGTACTGTACTTAGGTTAATATGTGACACACGGGGGGGGGTGCGTACGTTACATATAATGGTTGCCGCATGCCATATGGTGAAATAGAAAGATAATTCATCATTAGCTGTCAATGTATATTTCAAACTATTGCCAGCTCGTCGATCTATCTAGGTGAATGAATGCAGTGTTGAATAGGCGTGAAACAGTTAAAATTAGGTGGTTATGAAGTAACGTATTGACAACTGTTGAACAAATATTTATTAATTTAAGAAACTAATCACAACAGTGTATGAATTTTACACGATCAATCATTTATTATACATTTATAAGATACATTCAGTTACAACGAAGAATGAAGTCTTCATTATTTATAATTATATTCAATTACTATGACACAATTGTAAGATTCACCGAACGATAATATATTATGCAGTAAGCTTATTGATATGTCACGAAAAACAAACTTTACTCAAACTATCCACGTGGCATACAAATAAATTAGGATTTAATCCAATGACACCTAGTTTATTTCTGACTTCCTCCAAGAAGTTGAAATTACGTATATAACATAAGACCTATTGCTGAAGAGAACAGCTTAGAGCTTATAATAAAGATTATAACCACTTATAATATATTCCATACCCTGTAGTAATAGACCTAGTCTCGCGGCAATAACATGGTGCAGAATGGGAAACCTTTGCTTACTCACTAGTACAATCTAGTACAAAAATGGTGCACAATTGGACACTTTTGATTACTGCCCACGTCCTAGTACAATCTCAAGACATGATACACAATTGGACACTTTTGATTACTGCCCACGTCCTAGTACAATCTCAAGAAATGGTGCACAATTGGACACTTATGATTACTGCCCACGTCCTAGTACAATCTCAAGACATGATACACAATTGGACACTTTTGATTACTGCCCACGTCCTAGTACAATCTCAAGACATGGTGCACAATTGGACACTTTTGCTTACTGCCCACGTCCTAGTAAAATATCAAAACATGGTGCACAATTGGACACTTTTGATTACTGCCCACTTCCTAGTACAATATCAAGACATGATACACAATTGGACACTTTCGCTTACTGCCCACGTCCAAGTACAATCTCAAGACATGATACACAATTAGACACTTTTGCTTACTGCTCACGTCCTAGTAAAATATCAAAACATGGTGCACAATTGGACACTTTTGATTACTGCCCACTTCCTAGTACAATCTCAAGACATGATACACAATTGGACACTTTTGCTTACTGCCCACTTCATAGTAAAATCTCAAGAAATGTTACACAAGACACCTATTTAATGAGTTGTATTCAACAGTTAAACGCAATTTTATATGACTGAATACGTGGCGTATAACATTTGAATTTATTTCAATTGTTGCGATCATACGATCAAGCTTGACTGTTTATACATGTTGTAGTTTAGTAATGTATTTTACGTAGTCCCTAACTGAAAAAAAAAACATTCATTCAAAGTCCATATTCTCAAAGACGGAGCTGCATCACTATCCCACAAAAGTTGTCAGGACCAATCACAAACAAGAATAGACAATGAATTTTCGGATAAACACCCCACTCTAACGAACAAAATCAATTCTCTTTTACTGACTTCCTGTTTCGGTCCGTCTTTGGCAAAGAAATGTAATCTGTAGGAACATTTAGTCGCGGTTTGACCCACATATGGACGCCAGCAGAAAATTAATAGGTTTCATTCATTAAAAACAATACTTGCTGGGAATTGCTTGCTTATTTCCATTTTCATTATGCATTTACAAATGGCCTTATGTTGCCTACGTGTGCCGCGCAGTCATACGAACAACACAGATAAAGTGTGTAATATTAAAAATATTACATTCTTGAATACTTCATATGATAAGTATATACCTAATAATTTACCAACGTTACTATTTTGTATTTCAGAATGTTCGGTACGCACCCGCAAACAAGAGAATTCTTCAATTTTCGTGGCACGTCAGATGATCCCAAGAATACTCAACGACTCCGAGAACATGGACTTCGATTTATGAGTTTGGTGAAAAAGATTTTGGTTTTTATCGACGAGAAACCTCGTCTCGACGCAATGCTATTAGATCTTGGGAGACGACATCAGGAATACAAAGCTGACTTCAATCTTATTGATGTAAGCGTTAAATTGGCACATTGTTGTTTTAATCAGGTTCTGTAATTCGTCTCTGAAAAAAAATTATATCAAGTTATCAACAAGTTAATACAATTATATTTTTTTTTTACTTCAGGTTTTTGGAGAGCAATTCATTCTTTCTGTCAGGCCCACACTAAAGCACAGCTGGAATCCAGACGTAGAGTCCGCATGGGCACAATTATTCAAATACATTTCCTATATGATGAAAAAAGGCATGATGCAAACCGATAAAAATAAGTAATTTACTGTGGAATCACGGCATCGAATCAGAAGAAAAAAACTTAACCGCTGGACGGATACTTATGACGATAGCAGTTCCGATTTCCGACGATACTTTTTTATAAATACAGTTAAATTGTCTTGAAGAAAAGACAATGAAGAAAATGAAACGACAAGGTGTATGATTTGTTAGTTACATTTGAACTGTGTTCAGACATGTGCGTGACGGTTAATTACGATATGTAATGTATT